CCACACTCGCACTCACACGGCGCTCACGCCGGCCCGGGACCCCGCGCGTGCATACACGCGAGAGCGCGGCAAGGCCACCCGGGCGCCTTGCATGCGCGCACTCTCTCAGAACAAGCGCGGAACTAGCCGAGCAGAGACCCGCAGGACGCAGACTCAGATTCCCGCCGTGTGAACACGTACTGGGCTCCCTTCACTCACAGGGGATACACGCAGGTGTGCAAGGGCACTCCAAGCACGCACAAACGTGTGCAGAGGTACTTAGTGGAAACGTCAGTTGCAGGATTGGCACACACCAAACGTGCACACACAATTGGTGGAGGATGTGGAGGGGCACAGTACGCCTCCCCAGCACATGCACTCACACTCCTAAGAGAATACACACCTGTGATCAAGGATTCCCGAGGCACAGTCTTCCAAGCCCCCGAGCACACCTAACAGGTCACACACAAAAGCCATCAGGAGACCAGGGCATGGCCTCCTCATCTAGCAGCACACACGTCCACACTCCTACCGTAGGAACGCAGGGACAGGCTGTTCACCTACAGATACAGCCTGTGCACACATCCTCTTAGGTCAGAAACATGCACACAATAACTTTGAGTCAGCCCCAACTTGGCCAGGGAGAGGTGTAGAAGGACCCATGGGACAGGCTGGATGAGGATCTGGATCAAGACCTGGTCAGGAAGCTGAGGGCAGGCAGACCAGGGAAGAAGGACCCTTCTCATGCCTGAGGAGCAAGGGGAGGGGAAAGGCAGGGCCCCCAACCCCCAGGTCTGTTGACTGAGCAAATCCCTGGCAGCCCAAGTCAGTTCCTCCCTAGCTGCAATCCTGCTTGCTGGGAACGGAACTCTTCTGGGAACAAGCTGTTGCTTAGACAGGTGTCCTCAGAAAGCCCTGACATGGATGGAGTCCTGTTTACTCTCTAGTTTCCACTCAGAAATGCTCCCTCCTGTGAGTCTAAAGGAGGCTCCTGGCATTCCCCTTTCTCCATGCCCCATATGCCCTGCAGAGGGCAGGGAGCAAAGGAAAGAGAGAAGAGACCATCTCCTGGATGCCCCCAGCTGCATCTCTGTGGTAGGTCACCCGATCTGTCCGACTCTTTCCTCATCTGTAAAGCAGGGCTAACTCCAACCTTCTGAAGGGAGACATTGTGGGGAGACCCAATTTGGACTGAACATAATGGGTGAGAGGTGCTCAACAAGGCTGGCTTTCTTTTCCCACCCTTCTCAGGGGAGATGAGACACCGGTGAGAAGGACGGAGAGCAGCATGTTGTTTTGTATTAAGTTCTAAGCTGGGTGGTGGTGGTCCCTCTCCGTGTCACATGGGGCCAAGACCGTTCATAGCTATTGTCTCATTGTTTCCTTTTATTACCCCATGAGGTAGCAGAGCACCCCGTTCCCATTCTGCAGGTAAGCAAAGGAAGGCTCAGGCATGGGGTCTACTGGGCTGTCTGCTGGCTGGTGGCATGGCTGGGGTTAGAGACCAAGGTTTTTTGACTCATTTGATATTTCCACTCTCTCTTCTCCCGATCCTCTTACCCATACACACACAAAGCTCAAGGGGCTCAGAGCAGGTGAGGGCACACAGGTGAAACCTTCCCAGGGCTGCTGGGACAGGGACAGTCCGGGTCCTGGTGAAGCCCAGCTTTCCAAAGGTCAAAGGCAGAGGGAAGGACAGAAGAGCCTGGACTCAATGGGGTCCTCATTCTAGCAAGACTTAAGGGGATTAGTCCTTAAATAGGTGGCTGCATCATAAAATGATATGTAATGACGTGGATAGTAAAATACTCATGCAAAAACTGAGGTGCAAAAGGATCTGGCCATCACCTTGCATATGGGGAAACTGAGGCTTCAGGTGGTCAAGTGACTAGCAGACTGGGGACAGGAATCTTAACTCCTGACCCTGTGCTCTTGTCCCTGTGTTGGCTGTGGGTGGGGAATGGACGAGGGGGTCCAACCTCTCTCTCCTGGCCTCTTGACTTTCTGTGGATCCGGCTTTTTGGAGGGGCAGCTCATGGCCCTTAGTTCTGCAGGACCTGATTCTTGGGAAGGGCCTTGAAGAAGTAGGGGTAGAAGGATTAAGCCAGGGACCCCAAAGATGCCTCCTGGAGAAATGCATGGCATTTGTGGCAGAGTTGGGATCCGCTCTGAGCCTACATTTCTGCAGCCCTGAGACCAGCTGAGATGGGTGAGGTGCCATGGGGGTGTGGAGGTGGATGGTTGTGCAGTTTCTAGAAAGAGCATGGGCTGGGGAAGTGAGACAGACAACTTGGATTTAAAAGCCAGTGCTTGCCTTTTGCAAACTGCGTCTGACTTCGTGGGGGTTGCTTGACTCAGGCCCTAAGTCTCTCCTGTGAATGAGGCACTAGCAACTGTGAGAGAATTAAAGGTGAGGATGAATATAAAATGCCCAGCACCTGCCTGGCAGGCAACTGGCACTTGGTGAATTATAGTTCTCTTGCCCCTGCCTTCTCAGTGTAGATCTCATTGTACAACTGAGGTGCCTGCCTCAGTTTCTCTACTGGTGAAGTGCAGTTGGATGCTCTCCTTGTCCACTGCTGGGTGAGGCTGCTGAGAGCGGTGCCATGAGAAGTGGGTGACCCCATCCAGGGCTGGGCTGACTGGCGCACGTGGGGACCTGGAAACAGCTGGACATGGCCGGTCCCCACCAATCATGCTGGGGTGGGTGGCTTGTGGCCGGACTAGCCCTTAGCAAAGTTAAGTGGGTAGTCTGCTCTTGTTCCCACCCCTAGGGAGCCCTGTGCTCTTGCTTCTCCCCCTGTCCCGTGGGCCCTCTCAAAGGCCAGCACCTTCTGGGGTGGAAGCAGGCTCCTCAGAGGATGGTCTGGACACCTGTACCACCTAGATATCTATTAATGATGCCGACGCCAGCTCCCCACCTCACACCCACTCAGAATGTGCGCTCGCAGACTCCAGATGTGTCTTCACAAGCACTCCTGGATTATTTTTAAGCACAGCGAAGGCTGAGAACTGCTGGGTTCGGAGGTGCTAATGGTTTGACACAGTGATTCTCAACCGGTTCGGCTGCTCCAGCTCTGTTCACATGTGCAGCACACGCCCATCCTGGGGAGGCCAGTGCCTCGTAGGGTGGGTGGGGTATCGGAATTTCTAGTTTGATACATCCCAGCTCGGGTGACATGCAGTTTTGAGGGAGTCACCTCTTAGCAGCACTTGGCTGGTATGTCCTCGGTTGGCTTCTCCGGCTGGTGGCCACATACCAGTGGAGGAAGGGTCCTGCTTGGCCCCACCCGAACAGGACCCCCGAGTTTGCCCATCCATTTCTGATGCCTGGGGGAGTCTTGTGTTGTGCTGTTAGAACCTTCTGTGTAGTAACAGAAGCTGGTGGAGGAATGTAGAGGGACATTCCGAACGGTGGCGCTGGTTGGTGGAGAGCAGCCTTCCAGGGGTTCTTGTACGTTCATTTATTCATGAACCCACGTATCAACACATGTTTACCAAGCACCTCCTGAGTAGCAGTCCCCACTCCCCATGCTGCGTTCTGCAGGGGGCCTGGTGATGAACGAAGCCTCATTTTCCTTCAGAGCCTGGGTGATGGAGGGCAGATCAGGATGGGATGTTGAGGCCATCCACTCTGGGAGACCCCTGCTTCCTTGGCACACACCAAGGCTCAGCAGGAAACGCGGGAGGTGCCGATGCAAGCAAGTCAGCATTTGCAGTATGGTTCATGGCTGCTGCAAGGCAAACTTGATGTCCTAAGTGATATTAAAAATGCAGCTATTTCTGATAATTTATTATACACTTTCTCATACACACATTACACTCGTCACAGTACATTTACCAGTGCTAGGCCTAGCAGTGGGGACAAGTTAACACTTACCTAATGATGTTTCGCAGATGTCAAATGCTTGGGAGCCACAGTGATGGACTAAAGGCTGGAGTGGGGGTTTGTCTTCTCTTCTGTCCCTCCTGGGATACCTGCAGATCACAGGTCTGGGAGCCCTTATCTCACCCACTCTAGCTTTCCAGATGAGGAATCTGGGGCCCAGAGAGGTGGAGGGCTTGGTCTGAGGTCTCATACAGCAGACCTTGGTCTCATACTTATGTGTGCATCTTTCGATATCTGGCCACACATCCTGGATGGAAGAGTTCTCTGTTCCTCTACACTGGCCAAGGTCAGTGCTGCCAGCTGGAGAGTCCATAAGAGAGGCTCACCGTCTGGGAGGGACCTAGTCTGGGGTCTCGCTGCTTTTGGCAGGAGGTCGGATGCCACAGAGGGATGGTGCTGAACCCTCCTGGGAAGCTCCAGAAATAACCTCTGGGAGGAAAGGGTAGCTTGAGATTTAAGGGACAGCATGGAAGAGGGAGCCCCTGCTCCAGCTTTGGGGGCTTCCAGAGCTCAGGGCCTTGGTTGGAGAGGACTTGAGGACTGGAATGAATGCCGCAACTTTGTAAATGGAAAAGAATGAATGGCAGGAATTTAGGCCAGAGGTGTAGCTCGGTGGTAGAATGCTTATCTAGTAAGTGCAAGGCCACGGTTTGGTCCCCAGCTCTGCAAGGTGGAAAGAATAGCAGGATATCAAACCAACAGTTTTGAAACCTAAGGCAAAAGGCTTTGAATTAATGATGTAACTCAAAGGTATTAACAATGCAAGTGGTCGTTTCCAATTATAACTCGTTCCACTTCTTAAATTTGTAAAATGTTTAAGTCATACAAAAAGGACTTCAGTATAATATAATGAATGTCTGTACCCATCAACTATTTAAAAAATAAAATCATTCCAGGACCTGGGGATGTAGCTCAGTGGTGGAAGAGCATTTGAGGCCCTAGGTTCAATCCCCAGCACCCCCCATCCAGGTTCCTTCAAAAGCTAAACATAGAATTACTATATGATCCAGTAATTTCACTCCTGCCTGTGAACCCGGAAAATCAAAAGGGACTCAAGCAGATCAGTACTGGTACTCTATTGTTCTTAGCAGCCTTATTTGCAATAGCCAAAATGTGGATACAGTGCCCATCAGTAGACAAATGGATAAACAAAATGTGTATATAGCCAAACAATGGAATATTATCTAGTCACAAAAAGAAATGAAAACCCACTTTTGTTAAATGAAATAAAATATAAAGGCACAACTATTATATGAGTCTACTTATATAACACATATCTAGAATATGCCACTTTATAGAAACAGAAAGCTGAGCCCCAGGGGAAGAGAGTATGGGGGTTCCAGTTTAATGGGGACAGAGTTTTTGTTTGGGGTGATGAAAAAAGTTTTGGAAATAGATTGTGGTGATGGTTGTACAATATTGTGAATGTGATTAATGCCATTGCATTGGACACTTAAAATGATTAAAACGGAGAGCTAGGAGTACAGCTCAGTGGTAGAGCACAGGTTTAGCATTCTCAAGGTGCTTGGTTTGATCCCCAGCATCACACAAAATATGATTAAATGGCAAACTTTTTTTGAAGGCAGGGTTTCACTATGTAGCACAGGCTGGCCTCAGACTTGCAGTGATCCTCCTGCCTCAGTCTCCCGAGTGTTGAGATTACAGGTGTGCGCTAGCATGCCTGGAAAACTTTTTTTGAGACAGAATCTTGCAGTCTTGCCCAGGTCGGCCTTCTTGAGCCTTCAGTCTCCCTGCCTCAGCACCCCTACCCAGTGCTGGGCTTACATGTGAATATCGCCATGCTGGGTGGCAAACTTTCATATTTACATTTTGCCACAATTGTGTTACATTTAAAGTCTCCTGATACATAAGTTCTCCAGCTCATTGCTTTATCAAGAGGCAAGAACTATACTGAATTTGGTAATTATCATTTCATGCATTTATTTTAACATTGAACACACAAATATGTGCCTATAAACAATATATAGTGTTGTTTTGCATGCTTTTAAACTATATAAATGATATATGGTATATACCCTCATTTAACTTATTTTTTGGCTTAATGTTGTTTGTGTGATTTATTCCAACTGATGCATGTAGTTTGTTTTCTTCATTGCATATTATGCCCTTATTTATTTTTCCATAATTTATTTATCCTTTCTCCTATTTTTAGACATTTAGGTTGATTTCTATGATTTTCTATTTTCAACATGCCAAGGGGTTCTCCTCCCTCTGCACCTCCCGCCCTTCCTCCTTTCCTTTGTGCCAGAGTTTGAACCCAGAACCTTGTGCATACTAAACACATGCTCCATCACTGGGCTATGTCCCTGGACCTGTTCTTGACCTGCATGTAAGATCATTTCTTGGACAGGGGATTGCTTTTACTTTTTGTTTGTTACTGGAGTTTGAACTCAGGACCTTGTGCTTGTGAGGCAGGCAGTAGATGGGGGATTGCTGAACCAAAGGACCGTGAATCTGGAGTTTGATCAGATATTGTCCAGCTCCCTCAAGTGATCATTACAATTTCCATTCCCACGAGCTGACTGTCTCACTTCAGTTCCTCCACCTCCTCATCAACACTTGGAGTTGTCGGACATGAATCTTGGCTAGTCTCAGAGCTGTAAAAGGACATCTCCTTGTATTTAATTTATTTTCCTTCTAACTAGGTGTTAATTAATTTTGTTGCTAAGGGTGGGCTTGTGCTATCAATAGATAAATATGAAAAACTGAATGGAAAGATTCCCACCAGTAAGGGACTGGTATTACAGCACCCTTTGCCTGTGCTGTGAAGTATTACACAGCCATTAGGAAAGGTAAGGCAGCTCTGTGTAGTGATATAGGTGCTACACTGTGTTCTGATGCACTAGCCAGCTTTCCATCTCTCAGATTTACTATTAAAAAAAAAACCAAAGCAAGAGACATAAACTGTATTTCCTTCTGGGTATAAATAAAAGGTATATATGCACATATATATTTTTTTGTTACTGGGGATTGAATTCAAGGCTTTCACACTGAGCTCCATCCTTAGCCCAGTTTCAGTTTTGGGACAGGATCTTGCTAAGTTGATAAATTGCTCAGGCTGGTTTGAATTTGCAATCCTCCTGCCTCAGCGTGCACCATTAAAATCTGGCAAACACTTAATTATATATATATTTGCATCAAATAACTCTGAAAGAATAAATACTCCACTGACAACAGCAGTTCATCTGGGAAGGGAACTAGGAGACAGGGCAATTTTTCTGCTACACATTTTCACCACATATATGTATCATCTGTTAACAAAAGCATGCCCTAGAAGAGACAAATTTCATAGAGAGGAAAAGTAGAATAGAGGTGATTTATCAGGGCTTCGGGATTATTGTTAGAGTTCCAGCAAGAGTTCTGGAACTGGGTAATGGTGATCCTTGTACAATGCTATGAACATACTCAATGCCACTGAACTGTACATCTCAAAATGGTAAAGACGGTAAATTTTATGTTGTTTATTTTATCACCATTAAAAAAAAGTAGGAAGATGGGAAGCATGACAGAAAATACCTGTAATTTCAGGTAGCTGGGAGGCTGAGGCAGGAGGTTCACAAATTCCAGGTCAGCCTGGGAAGCTTAGTCAACCCTTGTCTCAAAATGAAATGAAAAGGGGCCGGGATTTAGCTCAGTGGTGCCACTGCCTGCCTTGTAAGTACAAGGACCCGAGTTCAACCTCTGATACCAAAAAAAAAAAAAGGAAAAGGGCTGAAGCTGTAGCTCAGTTATGCTTCCTGGGTTCAATCCCCAGTGCTGAAGGAAAAAAAGGAAAAAAAATTAAGCCCACAGTGAAAGAAATCGCACCATTTGAAAAATAATTCTTTAAGATGTCACTCTGAATCCGAGCCCCTGACAAAAGTCAGAATCCCGGGCTGCCAGGCAGGACACTGAGTGGGGAGCGGTGATTCCCAAGGTCTTCCTCCAAGAAGAACGCCAGTTCTGGTGACCCTGTCTGGACTGAGCACTGCCTAACTCCCTCATGGCTTCTGTCCCTATTGACCTGGTGGCCGGGTCACCCCTGCAGTGCTATCCCCGGACACTTCCAGGCCGTTATTAGCCTAGTCCTGCTCCTTTGAGATCTCGGCCTCTTTGTACCCAAGCCCTCCGGTGACTGGGCTTCTGTGCCATTTTGCCCTGGCAGGGTCAACGCAGTCCCCCACTTCCCTTTTAGGCTCTGTCCATGTTGGTGTGGCCCAGGCCCCACAGATGCCCCCTGCTCTCCCAGAAGCCTTTGCCCAGGAGTGGTGGCCCCAGTCCTAGGCTGCCTTGGGATGGCTCCATCTCAGCCCCAGTCTCCCATGGCCACCTCTGCACCCTGCTGTGCCTCACTGCTGCTCTACTCTCTGAATCACATCTGCAGCCCACACCAGGGTGCAGGTGGGTTGGGAGAGTCAGACACCAGACAGGGCTCCGAGT